CCTGATTATTCACTTTTTGAACTTACCTGAGAAGTATTTGCTTGAACTGTAGTTAATCTTTTCTGACTAGTTCACTCTCATATGCTGCTCCTTCCATAAGAACTAATACTTTACTAATAATGATATTATATGATATATTTTCAGGAAGAAAACATTTTTCATAAATTATGGGTGCGAGATAGTGATCCAGTTTCATTCTTTTGCAGGTGGCTGTCTTTTCCCCATTTTATATTTTTGGTTTCTTTGTTGTAAATTAATTAACCATGTATATGTGGTCTTATTTCCAGGCTCTCTATTCTGCTCCATTGATTTGTGTGTCTGTTTTTTATGCCAATGTCATATTTTTTTATTACTATAGTTTTGTAATAGAGCTTGAAATCAGGAAGTACGATACCTCTAGCTTCGTTCTTCTTTCTCAAAATTACTTTGGCTATTTGGGGCCTTTTGTGGTTGTGGTTCCATGAAAAAGTTTAGGATCATTTATTTTATTTCTGTGAAAATGCCATTGGACTTTTGATAAGAATTGCACTGAATCCAAAGATTACTTTGGATAGTATGGGTATTTAAATAATATTAATTCTCCCAATCATAGAGCACAGAGTATCTTTCCATTTCTGTGTGTCTTCTTCAATTTCTTTCATCAATGTCTTATGCTTTTCAGTATACAGGTCATTCGTATCTGTATTAAATTTATTTTTAAGTATTTTATTATTTGTGATGCAACTGTAAATGGAATTTTTTCTTAATTTCTCTTTCTGATAGTTTCTCATTAGGGTATAGAAACACAACAGATTTTTGCTTGTTGATTTTGTATCCTGCAAATTTACTGAATTAGTTTATTAGTCTAACAGTTTCTTTTCTTTCTTTTTTTTTTTTTTTTGGTGGTGGTGCTTTAGGGTTTTCTACATATAATAAAATGTCATTTTCAAATAGTGACATTTTTACTTCTTCCTTTCTCATTTGGATGACTTTTATTTCTTTTTCTTGAGAGGTCATTCTAATAACTAGATTGCATTAATTTCATTACTACATGCTCTCACAGCCTTTCTATATAATTAACCACCCTCAATGTCCTTTAATTATTGTTTAATACTGACTTTCCCTGCTGGAATGAAAATTTCATGAAGTCAAGGGTTGTGATTACAGTACCTGACACAAATGCATTTACTTCTCCATTTTAATTCTGTTTCTGTAGTCTCAACAACACATGTATCATAAGTTAAAGACCATGCGCAGGTGAGAACATAGAAATGAAACATATAGGGAGGTCATGTTGGAAAACAAAGGCACTCTTTTTAAGTTTAAGAAGAAAAAATTAAGTGCTGAATAACTCACTTTCATTGCTGCTTTTATAACATGGAGAAGAAAATGGGAGGTTATCTACGTAATGGCTAAAGTTTCACATTCTATAATTTGTGACAGATATGCAGGCTTCCCTCAGACCCTGGCCTCCTCTTTTGCCCTTCTCAATATTCCTTTCCTTATAGAGCAAACCGAGAAATCTTTACAGAACACAAATAAGATCATATTACTCCCCTGCTTAAAACCATCCAATGACTTCCTATTACAACCAGGATAAAATGCAAGTTCTCAACCAGCTTCTCTATGACCTGTTCCCTGTTTTCTTCTCTGACTTCCTCCTTGCCAAACTTCCTCTCATTTACTACACTCTGGGCACCAGGCACATTGGTCTTCTTTCTGTTCCTGTAAGAGTTAAAGGAATTGCTATCTCTTCTCCCAGATCTTCAAGCATTCCTCTTTCTCATTATTTGTGTTTCAATTCAAATATCACTTTCTCTGAGCGGTCTTCCTTGCTCTCCTCAGCTAAAGCACCCATTGCTATTGAATTGCACTCTCTACCATTTTGCAGTTTTTCCGCTTCAGAAACTTAGCAGCACCTAAAATAATATAATTTGTTTATTTGTTTACATGATTAATGTCTATCTGTTCACACGAAGGCAGGGACTTGTCTACTATTTATTGAAAAGATCTTCAATTTCTAGAACAGTAGCACATAAATATATTAACAGGTGCCCATAAATATATTAACTGAATTTTTCTGGAATGCAGGTGTAAGCTAACGAAGCCTTGAGAATCCTAAAACTTCCAAGATGATTGCAAAATGTCAAAGCAAATGTGTGGTTTTCTAAATTTATCTAGTGACCTCTGCTGGAATGCTTACCAAGGAAACCAAATACGAATCTTCATTTTTTCCTAATTGTCCTCTCCTCTCTTTTTATTGAACAATGAAATGTTAGTATGAGTGTGAAATTAAGAATCAGGAACTTTGGAGACTCCTTCTCCCACCTTGGAGAAACAGCACCTCCCTCTCTGGATGACTGTTCTCCTTCTGCTCTCATCTCATCAGTTTGTGCTTTTAGTATAAACCTCAGAGGAGAGTATTCAGGATACTCAGAGTATTCAGGAAGCAGAGAACTTTCTCTGAATCTCTCCAGCTCTTAGTGCATAAAACACTGCCTTTCTTTTCACATATATCTTAAAGAGGGGGATTCATTCAGATAACATCAATATCCTATGGACATATTTCTTGTAGTTCCATTTATTTCGCCGTTGTTCACTCAGGGAGCAATTTTAAAAAATGCATTCCCACTAAAAAAGCAAAGACTTGGGAAAGTATGTTCTCATGTTGGGATAACAGGATCAAAAGAGTTTTGAGTCTACTTTGAGGGGTCATTAGGAGATGATATGCTGTCGAGAGTGCTGGTACTTGAGACAAAACCCTAAATGAGAGCCAAATTTCAAAAAATCAAAAGGAATTTAAAGAAATTAAAATCATGAGAATGGGAATGAGTGCAATAATCATGATGTGATCCGGTTAAACTTTCAAAAACTGTTTTGTTTATCCCATGAATGGTATGAATATATGTATATATGTTTATTGTGGAAAATTTATAGAACACTAGTAAAAAAAAAAGACCATATAAATATTAATCATAAGCACTACCATCTAAAGAAAACCATTGTAAGAATTTTGTTTATATCTGTTTCAGTCTTCTATTTATGTATACTTCATGAGTAGGAGTATATGTATAGTTTTTGTACAAAATTGAATTAAACACACTATTTTGCTTTACATGCTACTTATTTTTATTTGATAAGTTATGAAATATTTTCATTCATCTAAGGTCATTTTCTCCCAAAATGCAATTAATTATTTGAGCAGATAGTACATGCATGTGGAACAAAATTCAAAAACTTAAAGAAAAATAAGCCTCCCTTTTATTCTTTTCTTTTCCAATAGTAACCAGTGTTACTAGGGAAAGCTTTTAATAGACCACTGTATGTCTTATAGATGAGACTGAAAAGTTACTACAGTAGTTGGTATAGTGCAGGCACCATATTAAGTACCATTTTTAAATGGGCTTATACCCATTTAAGTAAGAAACAAAAACTTAGTTAAGTGACAGATTGGATTTGCCCCAAGCAAATTTACAGCCAAGCACAAACTGTAAATGAATAAAGTCTTACAGTGTAATTTGGATACTGCGAATCGGCTATCCTGCGGCTTGTTCAGCCTCAAAGAGCCAGTCTCAGGGGTGCTGAGACTAAACACTGCAACTTGATGCTCTATCATCACCCTGTCATCTCACTCTCACGTTTTGTCACCATGCCCTTCTGTTGGGTTTTATTGGAACTTCTATTTGCAGGACTCACAAAGGTTTTGTCAACACAAGCAAATCATTTCGTGAATAATTTGGTTTATCTTTTGAATAGTTAATTTTTTGATTAACCATATAATTTTTTAACCACTCGAATGAATAATAAACTACTTAAATTTACTTTTATAGACAGAGATTAGAATCAAATATATCAGGAATCATAGAAGACATATAGATTCACATCGATTTATTAATATCAGATGATGAAATATGGTTTTATCTATCTTAAATCAGTAAAATAGGCTTTAGTGAATAAGGCCAATTGTATAGAAATGGCTAAAGAAGTAATAAAAGGTTACTAATAAATAACAAATAGTAATATTAATAATAACTAATAAAAATAGTAATCGTATTAATAAGTAAGAAATTATTTTTTATAATTCTGCTTGTAATTCTAATGTGAAGGATATTTTGTGTGAATTTCAATTTTACTGCTATTCAGAATGATAATGTAAAAATATTGATTGTAGTTTAAATCTGTAAAGTAAAATGTTTCAAATTTAAGCATGCTAGTGAATGCCATTACTCTATTTAGAAACAATATAGAATATGTCTGTGTGTGAATAAATTAGGACATACATATATATGTACATACAAACATGTGAGAAAGTGAATATATGGCATTTACTGCTGGCAAGGTGATCTTGGTCATACTTCAGAACATTATATATTTTGCCTTTTCCCCCATATTTGAACATTTTTACATCCATTAAATTATTCTTAATTAATTTGATATTATTTGAGATAACTGAACAGATAGGACTAAAATTAATTTCTACTATTTTATTAAAATGATGCTCTGATAATCATTGATCAGTCAAAATTACATTTCTTGTATGTTACATCCAAGACATGTTAGCATTTATAATTTTTTATAGAGAAATTTTAAAGTAAAGTAATTAAGAAAAGCGAAACCAAGATTTATGCTTACCTACAAAATTCAATCTGCAGATGTAGAACAAAACAACTAGAAGTATTTTTTTAATGCTCTAGAAATGAGAATCAAAAGAAAGTTTAATACAATCTAAAGGGACTGAAAGCATGGAAACACGTCCCAGTCAATTCTACATGTGATCTAAAATGGCCTGCAAACTTTATAAGGGCAATTGCTAGTCTTGGATCACTTTGGAAGTGATGAAATAAGCATTGATGACTGTGTTAGTCTAGGAATTTGTTCAAAAGGACAAGGGCTAAAGGTCTGGACTTGTATCATGATCAGCCTATGAGGATGCCACTATCTGAGAGGGTACTTGCCTAAAGCCCAGGCCCGAGGATTTTACTTGTGATTGCTGTGAGTTCTTGGGTAGATTATTATTGGAGATATTGTTCTCAGTGGACCTGCCCAGAAAGGCTGGTAAAGAGGAGTTGAGAATTCCTCCTTCAACCAGGAACTCTCCAGAAGCCCATGACATTCCATTTTGCTGGTTTAGTCTTATGAGAAGCTACTGAAGCCTGAGATCTTCCAGATTTGAACCTTCGCACCCCTAAAGCACACCGCTCCTGGGATTAGTTAACTGAAAGAAGAGTTCAGAAAATTTCAGGGGACTGGAAGAAGAATGCTCCGAGGCCGATCTCTATCTGTGGCATCCCTCAGTGGGCTTCCTCAGTGGGAAGTTGAAGAACTTCCAGTGGAGGATTTACTGCTCTTTGAAGTCGCTTGGGAAGTGACCAATAAAGGTTTGTACTTGGGCCTGAAGATGGCTATTTGCTAGATTGCTGAAGATGTAGATTAGGAGGATGAATTAGAATGAATTGCCAGTGAGTAAGAAAAGTATTCAAACTAAATATAAATTCAGGATACATTTAACCTGGTATATTTCAACAGGCAGAGAAAGTTGAAAATAATAGTCTTTGCCAGGGAATGTACATTTAAATTAAAATTTGAAATGTCATGACAAAAGAGAAACACAAAGTTAATATTTATTTTTTTGGTTTTATGATTTTTTCCAGCAAACAGTACAATTTTGTTCTTTATTTTTGGAAGAACTATACCTGATCAAGACCAATTAGAAATTTTAACTCCATTTACTGTTAGCAATTATATAGAATAATTAATGATGTTTCTAATAATTAAATATTAGCTTGGAAATAAAGCTTTAACTTAGAAGCAGCTCAGGAATGCATAATATTGAGCTCTTATTAAGAAGAATAAAAGTAAATTTCCCTTCAGTAATATATATGTATAGTAATTACGAAATAAGAAAGGAAATCAAATTAACAAAATTAAAATTATTTTCTAATAAGGTAAAATCTCATTTGTGCTGGATGGCGAAGGCAAAGTGGAATACTGCAACCTAAATAACTTTAGTAATAAAGGTAGCTGTAAAACTATAAAAAATTCCTTATGGATCTATATTCTCTAGTTTAAAAGTATCAAGACAATTGAAGGAATATTAGTATGAAAAAGTAAGTTTTGAAGGTTGAATTCTTCAGGGTCATGAAGGACCAGGCCAAGTGATTGATAGGTAAAAGGCAATGGTAGCTTGTAGAATTTACAGGCTCTGAAATAATAACATGAATATGATACATTACTTCTTCCTTTTGGCTTATCAGAACTCACATGACTTCAAAAGTAATTATATTTGGTATTTGTTTATATTTTCACCTATACTAAATGTTCAAAGTTCTCATGTGTATGCATTCCTAAAATTCATAAAATCATAATATAAAAATTAAAAATCAATTCTGCCTGTACAGAAATGCAGAGAACAAATGTAAGAGAACAAAGCAGTCTTTTTCTTTGCAATTTAGTGAGGAGAAAGCAAAGGACAAAAAACTTATTATAGAGAAATGAGTATTTCACAAATAGCTATTCTAATGTTCTTTTTCCAATCTGAAAGTTTTTAAATATGCCCAAAGTTCCTGGCAACAGAGCCATCTCTATTACGCATAAACCCCAGACTACGCCTTGAAATAAAGATTTTCTCTACAGAGCAGGGAGGAACTCAAGGATATATAGTTTATTGGTGGAAAAAATTTAGAGAACTCTAGCACCAGGAAACAGTTCAGATGGCATATGTGTGAGTTCCAGCACCTGAGCAGAGCCCCTTCTTCCTTCTTTTCTCTTCATTTAACAAACATTAAGGGGGCACTGTCTCCTGGTGCTGGGCACACACTGATGAAAATTTATCCATGGATTTTATATCCTGATGACCTGTGTGCTGATGTCAAGGCTTAGAATGGTAACTGGCAGAAAATGTTCAAAGAAGTTTTTTCTTTTGAATGAAGGAAGGAAAAAATTTACTTTCGACCTCTGTGCTGTCTTTGATACTTATTTTCTTTCATTTCCCATGCAAGAGGAAAGGGCTTTTCTTGTCAGAAGGGGACCCACAGTATGATTTACCCAAATTGATAGCATCTCCAATATATATTTATTTTAATATTTATTGCAGTCTGATTTTTTTTGTATTTTTTAATTAGTTTTGGGTATACAATACATTGGTTAGACATTTATATGGTTAATGAAACGATCCCCCTGATTACTCTATCTTTCCTCTAGCTCTACACGTAGTCATTACATTACTGCTGTCTGCATTCCCTATGCCATACTTCCCATCCCTGTGACCCTCTATCAACTACTAATTTGTACTTCTTTAATTCTTTACTGCTTTCTCCCAGCCCCCTCCCCGCCTCCCCACTGGCCATCATCCATTTGTTCTCTGTGTGTGGGTCTGTTTTCAATTATTAGTTTGTTCTTTTTATTCCTTAGATTCAGTATATAAGTGAAATCGTATGGTATTTATCTTTCTCCGTCTGACTTATTTCACTCAGCATAATAACCTCTAGGTCCATCCATGTTGTTGCAAATGATAGGATTTCATTTTTTATGGCTGAATAATATTCCATTGTATATATGAACCTTAACTTCTTTATCCAGTTGTCTATTGATGGGCATTTAAGTTGCTTCCATATCTTGGCTATTGTGAATAGTGCTGCCATGAACACAGGAGTTCAGAGAACTTTATGAATTATTGTTTTGGTTTTCTTTGGATAAATATCTGGAAGGCAATTTCAAAAGGTAGACTCATTTTTAATTTTTTGAGGAACTTCCAGGTTGTTCTCTATAGTGCCTGTACCAATTTGCAATCCCCCCAACAGTGTATGAGGGTTCTCTTTTCTCCACATCTTCACCAGCACCTGTTGTTCTTTGATTTCTTGATGATAGCCATTCTGACAGGTGTGAGGTAATATCTCCTTGTGGTTTTAATTTGAAATATCTATTCAGGTCTTCTGCCCATTTTTTTTAATTGGATTGTTTGTATTTTTGTTGTTGAGTTGTATGAGTTCTTTATATATTTTGGATATTAACCTCTCATCCAATGTATCATAAGCGAACATCTTCTCCCATTCAGTAGGTTGTCTTTTTGTTTTATTGATGGTTTCCTTTGCTGTGCAAAACCTTTTTAGTTTGATGTAGTCCCATTTGTTTATTTTTTCCTTTTGTTTCTCTTGCCCAAGGAGATATATCTGAAATGAAATTACTGTTAACAGTACCAGAGAGTGTACTCTCTGTGTTTTCTGCTAAAACTTTTATGGTTTCAGGTTTTACAGTTAAGTCTTTAATCCATTTTGAGTCTATTCTGGTATACAATGTAATCTGATTTTTTAGAGATATTTATATAAATGGACAATTATATTTATCCTTGACAATACATTGACACCATAGTTTCTTTTGACTTTGAACTTTTTACTTTCCTGCAGTTCATAGCATTGATATGAGGCATCTTAGAGATCGTGAATCCAGCTCCTCCATTTCATAGATGCAATGGTGCCTACATACATTAAATGATCAAGTAAATGGCAGAATTGGGATTAGCACTTAGGTCTCCTTTGAGTCCATTTATCTTTTTTATTACCATACAAAAATAAAAATTAAAACAACTATGCCTAAGAAAATGGCCTATGGAGAAAAGAACACGAGACTTGCAATCAAAGATCATAGATTTCTGAGACTTTGTAAAAACATCTCAAATTATCTGAATATCAATTTCTTCGAGAATGAAATGAATGCAATATCCTTCGACCATCTTACAGTGGTGTGACAAACAAGAAATGTATTTATATCCAAGAAAACGAAAGATTTCTTAGAGAGGACAAAACTCCCTCACTTCCAGAATTTTGCCAACGAAATTGTGTTAAATATAACAAATAAGAGTCAGAGTTAAATTATTGGATGCGAATTCTCAGACCTTAAAATAATCTTCTCTACTTGTTCATATTACACTTGAAATTTATTGCTTTCATTCTTTTATTATTATTATCTACTTATTATTCAATAAAAATGTATCAAGTGTCTGTTAGGTGGTAGGCACTGGGAGACAAGGAACATAGAGTTTAACAATGCAGAATTGATTCCAAATCATCCAACACTTACAGAGTTACAGGAAGATAGATATTGAACATGCAATTATAGTCAAATGTGATGAGTGAGAATAAGAGAACAAGATACTCTAAGACTATACATAGCGTGTGCGTGTGGGTGGTGCAGGGGTCCATCTAGTTTGGGGTTTGGGAAAAAATTCTTCCTACAATCATTGCTTCTGCACAGACTTGCCCAAATTATCATAGACTTTGGACCAATTATCATGTTGAGGATATTTAGGATCATTAAAAAGAGCTTAATGAATACTGTCACAAATCATGAATGCTAATTTAATACATGTGAACACTTCTGAAATTTAGTCACTAAATAAACACTTCTCTTTTAAAATCAACTAAAAACAATTTGTTTTAGCCTTAAGCCAGATTTCCAAAGGCCTCAATGATTAAAATGAGAACCGCTGCTCTAAAGTTCTCTAAACCCCTGGGTTCCTTTTTGTTAACCTAGAAGTGCTTAGAACCAAAATTAAAAAGTTATCTCCTTTAAGTATTGTTTTCCAAATGGCTTTTCTCTGGAGCAGAATAGAAATAATTCATTCCATCCTCCTCATGACCTAAAGAAGTTTATCTTTTTTACTGATGAAGTTTATATTGCTCATTTTCTCCCCCCATCCTTCCCAACACCACTTTTAAGGATCCATTGATGTGTTGTTTATACAGTTACTTACAGTCTACTGTCTAAACCCTGTGGGCTCTGGAGTCAAACTGCCTGGACTGGAGTCTCAACTCCATCATTACCTGTGTGATGTGGGATCCATCTCATAGCCTCTTTGCACTTCAGTTTGCCCATCTAAAAATAAAGATAATAATAGCATCTACCTGTAATGGTGTTGTAAAAACCAAAAGAAACACCAATTGCAGGTAACTTATAACAGTGCCTAGCATTTAATAAAATTGTAGGTGTTTTATTATTATTATTATACTTTCATAAAATTTATTTATAAAATGAGGAAGTTGGATCATCCATGATCATCCTGGCTTTGACTTTGAGTGATTCCACGAGTCGGTTTTAAAAATAAAAGCAGAAAATGGAAAAAAAGTTACGGAACGGGTTTACTGCAATCATGGGTGACACGATAATTAGGGGTTGAGATTTCTTTTCCTGGTGTAGATATGCAGTGGCAGCATCAACAGCATCCCGAGCAACACCACACAAAACACACAATCTATGGAAAAACCATGCTTGGTACATGCATAGCTTCAAGAGGAGCGCTATTCTCCACTTCCTTTTTATCCCGATTACCATGTCTGAGCCCCTCCTGTGTTATACAGGAGGCTGCCGCTGTGCTGTAATCAGGGTGAGGTGTGCAAGTGGTTTTGCTCTAAGTGTCTCGCCTCCTGCTACTTGACACCATGGCTGCTTTCATTTGAACCACAAATTTAGCAAAGCACCAGGCACACAAACTCGTTGACCATGGCCACCAGTAGCATTTACACATTGTCCTACCCTGAGCCCCTCCTGTGTTATACAGGAGGCTGCCGCTGTGCTGTAATCAGGGTGAGGTGTGCAAGTGGTTTTGCTCTAAGTGTCTCGCCTCCTGCTACTTGACACCATGGCTGCTTTGATTTGAACCACAAATTTAGCAAAGCACCAGGCACACAAACTCCTTGACCATGGCCACCAGTAGCATTTACACACTGTCCTACCAGCCCTGCTGTCTCAGTTAGAATGATGTTCTAACTGAGACATCATTAGAATGATGTTCTAATCGTATAATGAGTACCTTTGCTTCTGCAACCGTGCCTTGAGACAGGAGGGTCAGATTATTCACTATGCATACTAAAATCATATAACCTCCAAATTCTGTAACTTTTAAACATTTAAAAAATAAAGAAGAGACTTCCAATTTATATGTATTTATAAAATGCTTTATTTTGGCTGTTGCCCACATTCCATGCTGCTTTGGAATCTTGGTTTTTAACAATATCAGCAGTCTTTCTAGAGGAAAACTTGGAGTTATAGCTACTTCAGGGACATATATGCCATGGAAGCTGGTCTTCTTTTTCTTATGAAAGGTCTGATACTTTGCCCTCACACTAAAGATAGCTCCCATGTTGTTTCAGAAAAAAATAAAGATCAATAAAATACAAAGTACATGTTTGAAAATGAAGGGTAAGTCCAAATTCAGCGACCTACACTGGTAAAAGAATAATAACAAAATTTAAAATGTGTTGGTGACTCTCTGATTTATACTTCAAATTTGAAAATAGAAATGACCTTATGTCTATGCCATCACATTTACCTATAATTAGCATGTCAGCAGAGGAGTTTGTGGTAAAAAGAGTAAAAATCGAGGGAAATTAGTTGGCATATAAATACGAGAAGGACAGAGGAAGGCTAAAATGGAGCTTGAGCATATGAAATGCAGTAAGAGAACCTCCTCACAGAAAGACTATACAGGGAGAAGTCTGGGGGAAAGATTTATTTGCAATCAAGCCTGAAACAATATGAGATGGACTTTTATTTTTAAATTTTACATTTTTATTCCTGATAGACTGAAAGAACATAGTCATATTATTTATGAACACTCTAGGGCTATTTGGGGACTATCTATATTAAGATTGAAGGCCTGAAATGGGAGAAAGAAGTAGCAAATTAATTAACCATGTTTATCTTTACATTTCAATTTCCATCTCTAACCATTTTTTTCAAATGAGAAATTTTTCTTCTCCCTTATGTTCTTTAGCAAATGAAAATGTGTTTGCATTTACCCAAGTGTATTTTAATTTGAAATGCATAATCTAATAAACTCGGATATTCTAAGATCTCTGGACAAGATATAGTTGCAAATAAAAGAGTTTTCAAGAATAGAAATGTGTGCCATCAGAAGGATAATATATTCCCCCTGATAAGATGAAAATGAAGGAAATAAGTCTACAGAAGAGGAGAAATTATTTGAAGATTTTGTATTTTTATGGGTAATGGTTTTGAATGAAGCTTACATATATGTAGCTAAAATATGACTCTCATACTTTAAAGTTCTTTTTAGTTGTTTGCAAACTATTTCTCTAAGTTTGTTTTTCATTAATAAATAGTTTCAATGGTCCATAAATTTTCTGGAATTTGGGAAAAATATTTATGTGTATTGGATGTTGGCATCAATTTATGTAGACTTGGATTCATTGTTGAATGGTTAAGTGAATCAGTCTGGAAGCCTCCGCTTGCAGGATTTGTAGATCCTATCCATGTGTTCCATGCTATCCTCATCACCATCTGAGCTGTGATAATGTCTTTATTATCAGACTCTGCTCAAGTGACAGTTTAAATTTCTCTCAGGTACAGTCAAGAAGCCTTTTCTCAATAATGAAGTTCTTAAGGACAATACGTTTATGTAGGCTCTTATGAAATTGCTTGAACCTGATATTTATATTTTAAGAGTTACATTAGCTCTTCTCTTTGATAGATTAATGAATACTGTTAGTATCATATAGTAGCATCAACATTTGCCATTTGTGTCTTATCCCTCAAAAAGCAATTTACCAAAAAGTATATTTTGAGTGGCTCAAGCTTAAAGAAAAATTTGCAGAGGACAATTCTACCTTTTGGACACAGATTGTGACTATCAATCAGATTTATTATTTAAGAGATGCGTAGCTATTAAACCCAATATCCTGATTAATTTGAATACCTTATGAAAAACTATAGTGAAAAATACAAAGCTTTCTTCTCAATATGCAAGTAATAAAATTGCTCTTGAAAATGGAGTTGAAGATTGGTGCCAGGATCTCTATTAGCTTTGGGATTTCACACAGAATTTCTTGAATCTCCCCTCGTTTATAGATCATGGACAAAATATTGCTCAAGAAATTGATTCAGACTCTTTTTATATTCTTGTATGAGATGATTGTTTAGAGCCGGCACAAAGAAATAGCTCGCCTAAATTTCCTTCTTCCCCTCAGTCCTCTCTATTCTTCCTACCTGGTTGTTGCACCCAAACCTTTCCTTATGAATGCCTATTACTCTCCATTTGCACACTATGTTCCCAACTTAGGGCCTTGGTTCTAATCCTTCCCTTTGCCTGAAAAATTCTTCCCCATGATATCCATCCTCCTTATTTCTTCATCTTTTTAAGTACTTAAATACCACATTCTCAGTGAGGCTTCATCGTTAGTACTGCTACTATGATTTGCCATTTCCCCCAAGCTAAGTACTAATTTACTCCCATTGAACAGATAAGCTAATTGAGCCTTAACCTAAAATCTTAGGTTAAGTGAGTTAACTAGTTTAATTTAAGTTGGTTCTAATTTTTCAACAATATAATGATTCATAGCTAGCTATCATCTATCTATCTATCTATCTATCTATCTATCTATCTATCTATCTATCTATCTATCATCTATCATCTTTTGACACTTTTTTTGTTTCCCTCTGGGACAATTTTTTTTATGTAGACACGCTGAATCCAAAGTTATACATATTCTCTGAGAGTATACATATTTTCTGAGAGTATACATATTTCTTGGCTTTGTGTTTTAATAGTGGTGTCAGTGATGTTAGAGGGAGAAAATGAAATACCGTTTGGAAATTTGTACTTGTGTCATTGGGTTAGACATGAGGATTGAACCAAGCATTCCCCCTCAAAATCTATCGGCTATTTCTTCTTGTCAAAAGCTATCTTGCTTGGTACCTAGGAAGGGAAGTGGCTCTTTATCTTGGCACACTTGTTCATAATTTCAGCACTGGCTGTAACTTGGATATAACTTAGCCCCTTCTTGGACCACTTTAAGAGAAGGGGTGAAAGGTGACTGCTGCTACTGAAGACAATGGCTCTTTGTCCCAACTTTGATACTTCAATGTGGATAGAGCTTTAAGCCAAGTACTGCTTCATTCCAATTGTTTGTCTCTTCAGATTTTAGGCTGTTGTCAACCTGCTGCTCTCTGACATGTACCCAGAGGGGCTTTAAAATACGCATAACTTGAACTAATAGTGATTATTTGTTAGTGTCCTTTGAAAACTTTCTTTTAGCTAGTTAAATAAACCCTTGTGCTTGATGGATCCTAAGTACTTATTTAAAAATGAGAACTGACTTCCATGCCTTTATCTTTTAAAATGAATTACCAACCTGAATGATAATGGAACTTTTTCTTTTTCACAGTTGGTGGCATCTACACTGTGATTCAGACAAAGGCCAGAACAACAGCAGATGAATGGGGAGACAATTATTTTCTGATTGGTCCGTATTTTGAGCATAATATGAAGACTCAGGTAGAACAGTGTGAACCTTTAAATGATGCTGTTAGAAAAGCAGTGGATGCAATGAATAAACATGGCTGCCAGGTAAAGGCTAATGACTGACATTTCACTTGACAAGTCTTAGTACACTGTTATGGGAAAACAGAACACAATGTACATGAGCTCATGAGAGAAGACCATCATCTAATTAGGGAAAAGAAAAAAGCAGGTTTGTGAGAAAGATGACGAACTTGATTTTAAATAGGCACATTTTTGCGACACATTGTGAAACCATAGGAAAATATCTTAGTAGTATAATAGGTTTGGAGCTCAGAAGACGGTATAGGATAGATATGTTTCTGGAGAAGTTCTCTTCTAGAGAATCCAGATGAAACGCAACTCTTCCAACATATTAATTTTAATCCATAAAACCCATCTCAGACTACTGACCCCCAACCTGTAAGATAATTAATTTGTATTGTTCTAAGTCACTAGGAAATAGTGAGGTCAAGTTGAGGGAAAAGAGAATTTCATGTATGAAGAAGGGATTATGTCAACAAAAGATTGAACCAGGGTCAACAAGTTTAGCAATATTAAGATCATTCAAGGTAACCTTGTTAAATATAGCCTCAAAGGAGAAGAGGAAGTTAAATAAGATTTCAGTGGGTTGAGCAGTGAATGAGTGGTGAGAAAAAAGTGTAGAAGTTGTGGCTATGAGATTTTCCTATGAAGAAGAAAGATAAATTAAGTAGTTTCAGGGTGACATAGTTTTAAGAATTAATGTTTTATTAAATATGAATGAAACCTGAGCATATTTATATGCCAAAAAGAAATATCTAGCATATAGGGAGAAGTTGAAAGTTCAGAAAAAATGGATGATTGAAGAGAGTGAGGTCACTGAGAATGGGAGAGGGAACAAGATCCAAAGTACTATTGAAACAGTCATTCTTCTCCCCTTTCACTTAAACAGGAAATAAAGGATGAGTGCAAGCAGAGATAAGTTGACGAAAACATTCAGTATGGTCTCACTCAGTGTTTTTGATGATCTTACTGAAGGAGAGGTTAAATGTCATCTTAGGAGAGTTAGGAGGCAAGTGTTAAGAGAATTTGAAGGAAGAAGTTCTTCAAAAGTATTCAAGGACTATGTAAAAGAACTTCTGGATATCTTTGATGTGTAGTTAGGACTTTTTAAGAGCACAAATATACACAATTGTGATTTCCTCTAACAGCAATCAGCAGCCTGAGTGAAAGCTTAGGAAGCTGAATAGATGGAGATTCAGTGCTGTTTAATTTCAGCATTTGTGCAATAAGGCAAATTGGCACAAGTCTTGGAGGTAATTGTGTGACTGAATCAGTAGCTGAATTGATGGACAGTCAGTTTAAAGAATGCAATCAGTTTAGACTCTGAGTTGCTAGATTAAAATGATAAAGTATCTTGGGCAGTACATTTAATTAAGGTCTCTGGCAGCAACCGTATTGGGAAATATTTCAAGTTACATTTTTTTTTTTTGATAGGAGAAGTAAGAAAAATACACATTTATCTACAGAAACATTTTTTTTCCTAGCAGGAAATATCATAAGTCTTGATGCATAAGGAAAAATAAGTTACATAGTAGAAATTACATCCAACTATAAGTTGATAAAGATACAGAGCAATTCATCTTATGACTTTATCATAAAAACATAAGCTATAATATTAAATCCTAAAACCATGAGCTCATGATCACAGGACAGAGTACATTGTCTAATACTTTGTTTTCAAATGACCAAATTTAATGAAAAGTAAAAAGTTGGAGATTCTAGATGAATGAATGCAAGCCCATTACATCTTCAGGCTCGAAATCAGATGCTTTGTCTTGTCACTATGATTTCCTATATAGTTTGCATAATCTGCAATTAAGTTCTAAATAAAGCTCTATCTTCTAAGCACAAATATATTTTCCTCCTTTGCATTATCTAACATTATTGTATGGCTCTGTGTTCTTTATATGCAGGTACATTTTGGAAGATGGCTGATAGAAGGGAGTCCTTACGTGGTGCTCTTTGACATAGGTTATTCGGCTTGGAATCTGGACAGGTGGAAGGGTGACCTCTGGGAAGCATGCCATGTCGGCATCCCTTATCACGACCGAGAAGCCAATGATATGTTGATTTTTGGATCTTTAACTGCCTGGTTCTTAAAAGAGGTACAGTTTACTGTATAGTTATAAAACAGAGGAGCAGCACAATTGTATCTGTGCCCAGCATTACCCAGCAATGACTCCATTATCTTTAGATTAAGTGAATTTTAAGTTAATGCCATTATGGATTATCCTAGTACATTTGAAGGAATCCGAGTATTCAGCGTTTTTAAAACCAAACACCAGCCTTTGAAACAGGGTAATAATAATGCTTATTAATATTTACCTCATGTCAGATTTAAACAGAATATGTATATAAAACATCCAATATTATTGCCTGCTACATAGATAATACTCAGTATATATGCAAAAAAAAATAAAATAGTATACACCATGCACTATATACATGAATTCTAGAATTGAGGGAGTGAAAAATAGCTTGAAATATTTGGTTTTGTTTATGCATGAGCACTTATGCAGCTGCAGTGACTTTTAGAAATTTCCAATATTTGCTAAGGGCTGAAGTGATCCCAACAGTTGCTAAGGAGTTCATAGAACTGAAATACTCCATAGGTGAAAATAAATGAGAGCGTTAGAAACTAGTCCTTGTTAAATGAGCCAAGCCTGCACTCTCTTAAGTCCTCAAAGCCTAGCAGTAAGATCCTCCACATTTATAGTACCTCAAGATGGTGATACCTAACCTAAAAATCAGAGCACTTCTAGCAAAGCGGGGGTGTGGTCTAAGGAAAGATTACAGACTATATGTTGGGAGTGTTCTCCCCTTGGTCAGTCTTTCTTACTGATAAAGTCATATTACAATAGCCATTCAAAGGGTTGCTTTGAAGTGAAGGATAAGGTGAAGGGGCAGTCCTGTTGCTTTGTGTTGGTGACAGAATAGAAGAAAGGTTAGATGCTGGCAGATCTTGTCTAATGACCAATATACACTCTTGTTTTAGCATCTTTTGGTGGAACCAACTCTTCCTCTGAGAACTGCCTCCCTGAGCCACTGCCCCCAAGGCTGAGTCCAGCCTCCAAGCTGTGTGTGTGTGTGTGTGTGTGTGGTGTGTGTGTCTGCCATCATTCTTACTGTTAAAGGGAATAGAGAGAAAAGAAACAAGAAAGCAAGAAACCAACTTTTTCTAAAATAAAGCAGTTCAAGAAACAGATAGGCATTGATACAAAGCGTAAATAAAAACTGAAAAAGGTTCAAGGCCTCTGGGCAAGCCTTTTTTCTGCTGTCGCCTCTTTGCTGCTGTCGATCTGTATAACAGTTCATAGCTGTGAGGAACTTCTTGAAGAGCAGATACTTAAAGTACAAAAGTTTTGGCCAAAGTCAGTGCTTCTCAAAAAGTATTTCCATGGACCACCCTTAGCAGTATCACCTGCAACCTTGAGAGAAATGCAAATTCTTGCCCCTAGCCTGGAACTATTAAATTAGATTACCTGAGACGGGGACCTGGATGTAAGTGCTTTACTAGCTTTCCAAGTGATCTGATATATGCTAAGTGTGAGAACCACTGGGCTTTATGCACATGCCACCAAATCCTATAAAACATTTATATTTGCTAAATCCGCATGTTCCATATTTAGATCCCTTTAAACCATGCTGAAATTTATAGGCACGATAACTTTCGTTGTGCTGTAGGCTACGATCAGATCAAGCTTCACGAACAAATTTTCTAAATGCTTCTCTTCTGATGTAGGTGACAGACCATGCAGAAGGTAAACATGTTATTGCCCAATTCCACGAATGGCAGGCCGGAACAGGACTGGTCCTTTCTCGGGCCCGGAAACTTCCAATCGCTACAATATTTACTACTCACGCCACACTGCTTGGGAGGTATCTCTGTGCAGCAAACATTGATTTCTACAACCATCTTGATAAGGTAAATAGTCCTACTTTCTTCCCCCTCATCACCTTTTTTTCCGATCCTTAAAGCTGAAGGATCAGAAGTATCGATCTTTACATTTCATCTGCCAGCCAGATGGCAGAAATGCCCTTTTAACTAATCAATATGCATGACAAAGCCTCTCCTGGGTGACAGAGAGCTCATATAGTTTAACCTTATTCAGAGTGTAGAGTGTAGCAGTGCGAGACGATGTCTGTCTACTTTGGAGCAATAGATCCAAGGTCCAAAGGGGCATGATAGGAGTAAGACCCTGGGGACATAAAGTTAGGCTCCTTTCTACTCTGCAGCTTAGGAAATGCTGAGAAGACCTTGGATCCACACACAGCTCTGAGGGGCAGATAGAGAAGTGGGATGTGAGGCATACAGCTTGCACTACAAGCCTTACTTCCTCTATCCTCCAAGTGAACAAATGGCCAAATTTCTCCTATAACTTTGCAATGTATAGTTGAATTTTTGGTAGGGGTCAGACAAGGCAGAAGTTATTAAAAACCGGGATGTGGGTCCTTGATGACCAAACAGTTATGTCTACTCATTTTAGAAGACTGCTCGATTCTATAACCCAAAGTCATTCTTTCTTGTATTTCCTATCAGTTAAATCAGATTACAGTGTATCTTTTTTTTATCATGATGTTAGTAATAGCAAAAAATTATTTGCATACCATAGAGTCAGGAGTTTTGCAAATTTAGTAACTATGTTGCAATCAAATCAATTTAGCGTTTTAGGGTTTTTTCTGTTTCACTTTAAGGAAAATTAGGAACTTGGAAAATTGATTTTTAAAGACTTCTCCAGTTTAAAAAAAATGTTAAGAATCTATGAAACAGAGAGAGAGAGAGAGAGAGAGAGAGAGAGAGAGAGGGTGTGTGTGTGTGTGTGTGTGTGTGTGAGATACATAAATAATATTTAGATAATGGTAGTGGAGAGTTATACAATTATCTTAAAGACACGTTGACACTTTGAAAGCAAGAAACTTTTTTTCTGACAAACTTTAACATTTGCAAATCAATGAATGGCCCTAATGAGAGTTTTCCTATAAAAAGGTCAGCCTGACCTAAAGGTCAAATTGTAAACATAAATTGTACATTTAAAATAATGTCACCGAGGAACTAAGAAAGTCAGAAGATTGGAGAAATTCTCTGTTAGTGTATTATAATAGTAGTCTAAAAAGGGCAAACCAGTGATCTGTGATAAGCTCCACAACCCTGTTTCCTGGAGAAGAGCAGACTTTGATTTTTGTGAAAGAGAAATTAAAGAGGTGTATCAAATATTTCACATTAGAATACTTAAGAACATTATGTTATTAATAAAAACAACTAATATATATCAGATATTATTTATTTTTTTAGAAACAAATGCACTTTGGTATATAGTTACATATTACAACTTTATCTTTTTGATAAAAGGTCAGTGTTTATATCATACTGTCTTCAAAGAAGATTATATATCCATCTCCCCAGCTCAAAACTCCTCACTGGTTGACGTAGGTAAGCTTAGTCAAACCCTGACCCATTGTCCTAGTAAAATGTCCTGCTCAGCAGAGTGACTAGTAAATAACAAGTACTCAAGAACTAGATTTTGAGTTAGACTCATAATCATTTCTCACAGAAAGAGCCCCTATAATCATTTTCCATGGCAGACCCTCACCTCATGCCCATACTTGGTTTAGAATTTGGGTGGTACATAAAAATACCAAATTATATACATGAAAATGTTTAAAATGTTTTTTAAAGTTTGACATAAGAAATGACTCATAATTTAGTTTTTGATGCAAGACCTAAGATTTGTTTCAGTAAGTTCTGACTCAGACAAATGAACATGAGGTGTGGGAGGAATGAAAATAAAAATGAAAGTATTCAACTTTTATAAAAGCAGAAAGGTTGCAACTATTTTACTCAAAAATATTTGCTAACTGAAAATAATTTTTGTTATTAGCCAATTCACAAAGACCTTGAAGTTGGTCAACATTTTTAGTTAAATTTATTAGCTAAAATTTCAACCATTTTTACCCAGCATATAAATTTTCTGAGACTCTCCAAGAAGGTGTTTCCAAATTTATTCTTATTAGCCCAGTAATTGGTCAATTTTCCTCTCCACTACAACCACTAGATAGATAGTGCTTTTTTTTTTTTGAAGTTTTCGCCTCTCTTTTCTAGACAGCAACAGAATTTCCTTGATGGAAATGTGAGGACAGTGCTGTTTGAGATTTGAAAATGCTGAAGGAAGCCACAGACAATTGTTTGATGGATTTTAACTCTTTCCTCTGACCAAGTTTTGAGTTAGTCAACTTTAATTCTAAGGTTACCCTCCTCTGTCACTGGACTGGTTTTTTATTGGTTAATATACACTTTACCTCATTCTTTGTTCTTTTATACATATTCTCCAGAATTCAACAAAAAGTTATGAGATACATGAAAACACAGGGAAGTTCCATTGTCAAAAGAACCAAGTCCAGATATGTTCTAAGTGTTGGTATTATCAGACAGAGGTTTTAACATTCTATTATGAATATGGGGGAAAGTGGACAACGTGCGTAAACAGATAAGGTTGCTGTAAAGCCCAGGTGTGGCCATGTCACAGGCCTAAAAGATAAAGGACCCCCATGGGACCAGGAAAAAGCAGAAGCATGCACTGTGCCTGTCTTCATGAAGACCTGTATCTTTTCGTACTAGGTTTGCTCACTTAGAAAACCTATCTTCCCACGTCTACATGTCTAAATGTTAAATGCTATCCCACATATGAAATCTTATTATGCTCAACAACAATAAATAACAATAGCTAAAGTTATTGAACACTTTCCATGTACCAGCCACTTTTGTAAACATTTGACATGCTATCTCATCTACTCTTCACAAAAGCTCAAAGAGATAGGAAACATTTCAAACTTCTTTTCAGAGTTATTTTTCATAAACATAGGCCATGTCTTTATCATACCTCTAAATGAGCCACTGTAGTGCTTTCCACTGTATACAAGACAAAAGTAAATTCCTAGCCTTGTCTTCAGAGAATCCTGTGATCTGGCCTTATTATAGCCTACCAAGACGTTACCCTTTTATGTCTCCTACATTCTATTCCCAATGCCAAAGTCATATCAGACATCTTGCTATTTTCTGCACATACCATATGACTTTATATACTTTTTCTTTAGGGCATCTAATTTTTCAGCCTAAAATAACCTTTCCCCAAATGAAACTTTTATGTCCTAGTCAAATACCATTTTATTCTCTAATTAACTTAGAGTTATAAAGATGAATAACCGATGGTTTCTTGCCCTTCAAAATCTTACAGTCTGGAGGTGATTCCGACAATATGAACACTTATATACTATGAGATACTTTTCCCTCAGCTAGAGTGAATCAGTCCTGCTCTGATCCTATACCTTACTCAGCACTTACACTTTTCTGCCTGATTTTTACCCATTTCCTCACTAATTTATAAGCTCTTTGAAGGTACAGAAACAATTGTTAGCTAATGAGAGGTTTGGCTGAATAAATGAGACCAGTCATACAGAGCTTTTTAAAAAACTTCTGCTGATCCAAGGATGCATATAGAGCCCTGATTCAAACACTGAATTTCAGAGAGATGCTTGCAAATATTACAGTAAAAAAAAATATGCTAAGAATTTTCTTGTTCTAATCTTTAGAATCATCTAATAAGTCTTTTTTTTAGTGTTTTCCTCGATATGATGCAATAATTATTGGGACTGACTTGTTGATTGAGTTAGATTCTAAAAGATATAAAAGCAGATGAGAGCACAAGCTGTGAGTCAGACTGATTTGGGATCAATTTAGGGCTCTGCTAAGATGGTTAATAAGGATGTGACCTCGGACAAGTTCCTTAACCTCTAAAAGTTTCAATTCCCCCCGTAAAATGAAGACAAAATATGTGTCTCAGTCATTTATGAAGATTAAATATGATTTAGAAGAGTGCCTGATGCATAATGTTGAATAGCTTCTGATGAATCTTTATTATGAAAAGCACGCTGCTGATACAATGCCAGAAACTAGCTTTTTCTCTCGACACTGCTACTTTCATACGCAGCTATATTAGACATAACATTCAATAACTAAGCAAAATGGTGAAAGCCCACAACTGTTGCCAACTATTTAAGTAATTATTTGGGGTTTGGCTTATTGTGTTTTCTTTGAAGTTAAGATATACAGAATAATGGATGATTGCACAATCTAAAAACACTATCTAATTAAAGTAAGTATATACTCCTGAAATTAAATATAGAGGTAGGACTTTTATAATTATGGAAAAACATTTGTCTTTTCTCTTTGTCAGGTTCCCTGTCAGTGAATTAATGATGATAATAATTATATTTATTTTCGGTATCTAGTTTAATGTCGGCTTTGTTTCATTGTTTATGGGGAAAACATGATAAGAAACTTGGGGAAAGAAATTAGCTCAATATTTATAAAATGTGGGAAAAGTAATAGTATAATTAAAATACCAAATAATTCTATGTGATTATATCAAAGTAGAAATAACTTTTACTTAGGGGATTAAATAGCAGTTTAGAAGCAGAAAATAAAGTACACAAAACCTTTTTAAGCACAAATAGCTATGCATTTAGTAATGGGTTTAATAAAAATTATCATTACTTTTTTGTGGTCAGAAAATTTTATACAGCCTTGAGGGAAAACAATATAGGACATACGTGATTTTGTTTTGCTTGTATAGAAGGATCAGTGTAAGAAATGTATATGTACTTGTTTTATTGTGTGTGTGTTTTTTTTTTTTTTTTTTAAAAGTTTTAAATTGAACAAAG